TGCTTATAAATGACAGCAGTATTATTATTAAAAAGTTGTTTCCTGCTGTCTTAGTCTTTTTTTTTGTTTAAGCATTTCACCCTAAGCAAGGTGGGAGTGCCACTGGTTCAGAGGGAGTTACATAGAGTGAAGGTGAGAGAAAAAACTGTGTATAGGGGAAAGAAAGAAAGGATAAAAGATGAACAGGGTTCAAAACATCAGAAGATGGTGATTGACATTGAATTTAAATTTTTGAAGATTGAAGTTATCAGGGAAGCAAGTAAACGGAAGGGAGTTACACAGGCTGGAAGTGCAAGAAAAGAAACTATTGAAGTAGAAGTGGTGGTTACATTTAACTATTTCAGCGGTAAAAAGGTGGGACCTAGATGCTAGTCTAGTAGCATGCTTAAATTTATGTAGTTAGGACACCAGAGAAAAAAGCTTGAGAGAACAGTTGCCTTGAAAATATTTGTAGAAAAGATGGGGGAAGCCACATCATGTCTGTGAGAAAGTGACTGAAGTCAAGATGCCAAGTTGCATGTTTTTTCAAGGATTTTTTTTTCCTGTTCTACTGTAGATACATATTTATGTTTACACATAAATACATCAGACCGTTTTTTTTTTAAATATTCCCAGCTTAAATGGGCCGACAACCATCAAATACATTGCTTCTTTACTGACTTCTCATCATTTAACAGCTGAAGAATGGATTGAGATAAAACAACAACAAAAACATGTATTAGAAAGCAACAAAACAGATGAATAAAACTAATAAAATATGTGCAATTATGAAAATTATTAATTCCAGATACTCAAAAACAACTGAAATGCCATTCTGAATTTTGTCTAAACAAATGAAATCCCTGTCTTCTTGATGTTCACAAAAATTTTGGTCAATCCATAATTGGCAACATCGAGAATACAAAGGACTTCAACTGTCTGAATAAAATTTAAAATGTTAATGACACTTCTCAATGTTTGAAAAAAACCTAAGTGCAATACCAAAATTGTATAAATGTTTTAAAGCATTGTTAACAATAAAAAAAATTTGAGCAAATTTAAACACTTTTGAAAAAAAAGAAAATTCAAAAAGCCTGTGTATATAATAATTATGTAAATTTTAATTAATACACAAAAATTAATAAATAATTAGTCAACATATAAATTATCATATTATGAAAAATCTTTTAATAATTTTTATATTTTTGTTTTTTTTTCAATGCCACAAAAGAGAAAGAAAACAGAAATTACAAAAATTGATGAAAACATTTTTCAAAAGTCAATAGTTAAATGTAGTCAGTATAAAATGTTCATTTCTGATCATAAAAATAATTTCAAAAGGGTTATTAAACAATCACCATTTATACTGTAAAGAACAATGAAAAATATCTTAAAGCTACTTTTTACTGTTGAGTGTTTGGTCAATAAGTTTTTGTTTCTAAAAAGATAAAAAATATTATGAAAAATAATAAGTGACATTTTCCAAAATTTCTGAATATTCTTTTAAATTAAATTTTTTTGTTGCCAGTGAAAAATAGCTTTAAGAATAAAAAATTAATTTTTTTTTAAAAACAGACAACTACATTTTAAAGCAAATATGAGAAGACATTTTCAATAAGCAATATGAAAAAAAAAATCCTTAAATCTAAAACAAAAATTTATACTTGAATTGAAATAACCTATTTCAATTCTTTTTTCTCTTGGATTAAGAAATATTTTCTTGAAATCATATAACAAGAAATAAACAAAACATTAAAGCAAATAGGTCTCCATGTCAACATTAACATTATTTTTAACCTTGATAAAGATTCAAATTAATAATTTGAAATATTTAATTCATTCAAACTTTGCTCGTTTCTGGAGTTATAATATTAAAAAAAAATACTTATAAACCATCAAAATATTGCAGTTTATGTTCTGTGTATCTTACATTAAATTCAATCCCTTATTTTATAATTTTTTTTAAATGTTAAGTTGTATCAAAAGTATTTTGATGTTTTCAGGAACTTTACTCCAAAACTTATTTCAGGTAAACACGCAAAGACTTCTTTAATATATAAAGGTCTCTGTAAAGACTGACCTGAATTCCTGTTAACAGCAGTCTGGTTGCTATTTACTAAACTTAACTTAGGTTTGGACCAAGGCAACAAGTATAGAGCACTCAGTGAGGATCAAACACACTACAAAGTTGTACTTGTCAACCAGACTATCTTGCTAACCCTAACGTGGCTCAAACAGCAGTTTGGTTCTCCTCACACTGAAAAATGTCCCCTGAAGCACAGCAGATATACAGATTAGGCACATGCAGATTGTTGCAACCAATGGAAGAAAGTCACCACCAATTCCCAAATTCCACCCTAAAGTTGAGAACTGAATATACTATAATATCTATAACTCTGGTATATTATTAATATTATTTAAATATATTTAGAGTCTGGCAATTTTGAGGTACTATATTAAACTGGGCCTTAAAGGTGCTTGAAGAATTTGGGGGAGTGGAAGGAAAGGAAACAATATCTGACTGTAATGCATCAAACTGGTTCATGCATTTTAACAGTGGAGACTTGTCCACTGGAATTAAGCCAAGAAGTGAATAATCATCACTTATTCTCCATTTAACTCTTTAGCATTCAACATGCTCCTCCCACCCCACCCCATAAATATCAGTTCTCAATGATCAATCCATATATCCAATGTATACTCTGCCTTAATATAGAGTGATTTTATAAGCACAGCTTAGATGTGATACAAGATCAAAAGTATGGGGCACCCATTGAGGATCAAACTCATTACTCAGTCAGAATTGTTATATTACACTATATTGAGGTGCCCCTCTGCCATAATATATGACAACATCATTGCAAACAGTGCAGGAAGTCATGCAAACAGTGAGATTTTAACCACATTCTACTTTTGCCATCTCTCCTTTGTTCTTAGCAAAGAAAATACAAGTTTCACAATCTTTTTTCATCTTTTTTTGATGACAAGAAATCAAGCATCATAATGAAATGGAGTCTAATGATTCAGAGCACTCATTTGAAGGATGTACAGCTCAGGTTATTCTAGAATCTGAGGAAAAAATAGGAAAAAAAACTAGAAGAAATGCAAGATGAATTCGATATTGCCATTTCTGACTTTAAATGACAAACTGACCATTCAAATGAGGATAATGATGTTGACACGTATATGTCAGATCTTGAGTGGACAAAAGATTTCTATATCAATTTGCCAGCATTTCTGGAACCTAATGGACATACATATTCATTGTCAAAGGATGCCAAGTTGATTGTCTTTGAGCAATTTTCCTTTCTAGCAATTTACTCATTTCATGTGATATGAGAGAGAGAGAGAGAGAAATATGAATGCTAAAGTGTTAAAATGCAAGTGAGAGGAGAACCTGATCATGATAAACATAAAAACTTTGAGAAGAGTGAGGATTATTGAAAGATACATGTAGAGCATTACATATTTTGTTACATCATTATGTAAATGTAAAATAAAAAGTTGATTGAAAAATGAAAATAATTTTGATACTTCCTAATTATAAAGAAATCATAAAACAAAATATAGAAAGACAAATTAACTTAAAATAAGAAAAATAAATTGCCAAAAAAAATAAAAAAAATAAAAAAAAAATTGATCTTCTTGAAATACAATAAAATAAAAACAATCCAAAAGAAATCAACTGGAAAATAAATAACCTTTGGGAAAAACTCTTAAAAATAAATATACAAACCTCCGAAAGTAAAATTTGGAAAAAAAAAAAATTCATTAGAAAATAAATAAATAGATTTATTACTATATAAAACTCTGTGAACTTTGTATCTTGTGTGTTTGACAGAAATCATATATAGAGAGTGGGGGAAAAGAAAGATGTAAATCTATTATCATGTAGGAAATGGGGGTTAGAGTCGATTTTCTTATGACAAATTGTACAACACAAAATCAGGCCCCAAACAGGATAGGCACAGCTGTCATCAAAGTCCATGCCACTCTTGCTTGTGAACTTCACTACCTCATGCTAAAAGAGAACTCTTCAGACCATGGAAACACCATCCACATTAAAGAAACAAATTCTATCTCTTATATCCTCTTTACTCTGAACCACACAAACAGACATGTTGACTTTTTCACATAAACACACATATAACATTTCATTGTTTCTCACATACGTACACAAAGAGAATTTTTATTTTATTTCAGAATTTTATTAACCCAAACAAAAAGACATTACTTTCCAATCTATGATCAATTGCTTGTATTCTTGTCCTTATATTAAATTAATATTCATTTGTTGAAAGTACGTTGTCTTTTCTATTGAATTTTATTCTTTCAATGAAAATCTTTTGATTATTCTAAATGGCCGAATTATGCACAGCCCCCACAATAATATTTTATGTTATTGTATTGAATCCCAACACTCTGATTTTTAACATTTCAAGCTCTTATTGTTCAACATTCTTCAAACAGACATTTTTTTTAATGTTGAAAGCAACTTCAATAACTGAAAATTAATGTATTTTGAAAATATCTCTACTTTCACAAACTCTTCATGAAACTAAATGTAAACACAACAATGTTGACCCAATGGGTCATGGGTGGTCTAGTATTTTAATAATAATAATAGGATTAATACAAATATAAAATTTATCACTTAGCTGATTGATGTTATATTCAGCATCCTAACTGCAGAGTTTTGTAGGCGGACATTTTTGTAATCATTCAGCCTACTTCTCAGGACATTTTAGCAATTGACTGCCGATTTTTGTTATTTTTATATTAAGTTAAAAAATAATTTAGTCACTTTTTATTGTTGTTAAGTTGATTTTTTTTATTCTTTGTGTATGCGTGTGTAGAATGTTGTGGTTATTTCTTCATTTTAAGTTTGGAAAACATAGGTGTATTCCTATATTATTTGCATCTTGTTTAAATAATCTGTTTTTTTTTTTTTATTAATGCTTATAAATAATATAATAATATAAATATAACAACATTATAATAATAATAATGCAATAATCTACCTGATGAGAGTTTGGTTCTTTTGTTGCAACCATGATACACAATGAGTTCTGACAGCCAATAATGCCTTCTTATCAATGGCCTGAGCAGTGTCTGGAATGTTGGACAAAAGGAAATCACTGGGAATCCATACCACATTACCTATCAGGTGGACAGCTGGTGCCTTTTTATAGACATCCCAAATCACCTTGAACAATTTTTTGTCAATGACACGGAATATTTGGCAATAAAGCACATATAAGCCACAGAGGCCAACATATTTACAGCGTTGATCCATTTCTTTAGCATCCCCTACAAAAAATAAATCAATAGATAAAATAAAAATAAAAATAAAAACATTATTGATATATATCCTCATTGCATTAACTACTTGGGACCAATTAATGAAATACCTTATCAGAGGTTTTTTAATCCTGAAGAGAATGACAAGATATTTTATTTATGATGAACTGACAATAATTCCATTTAATTTTTCAGCCTTGCTAACAAGCTCTACACATTTTGATGTAGTCGCAATATTTCTTCTAATATAAATATGGTTTAGATAGCACCTAGTAAACAACATCTCAGCATTTCAAAATGGTAACATCAATGTAGGGACAATCTGCAGAAACTTCTGTAGTATTTTGCAATATTTCTGCAAGTTCTGAGTTTTTCTTTTTCTTTTTTAATCATTTCACTCCAAGCAAGGCAATAAAACCCCTAAGATACAAATTCAAAGCAATTTGTAGGTAGCAACAAAAGCAGAGAAATTAATGAGTATCTTAGAACAAGCATTTTGTCTTAAGTTGTTTTGTTCTGGCAGTGAATTTGAGATTAAGCAACGATAAGTCATTCAGATAAGGGTTGTTAAAGCAATTATTGTTCTGGAGTGACTCAAGATATTTCACTAATATGATGTCATACAAAGTTTGATTGAACAGTTGTGGGCCTTGATTAATTTAAAGTTACACAGCAATTAAAATGCCATCTAAAGCAGCATTATAGCAACAAATCCAAAATTCATATATATATATATATATATATATATACACACACACACACAGAGGAGGTCTGATCAAAAACTATTGGGACTGTTGCTATGATACTGGAGCTAAAATATGCGTTGTGAAGCCGCTTGGCACAGACTGAGCTTGAAGTCTGTCACACACACACACAAAGTCATAACATTTTTGTTCACTTTCATTGTTTATAGCAGTGCTTGGATGGAAAGTGGGTAAAGTGTAGTTGTCTTCCCACACCACAGAGGTTCCATTAGTAACCATGGCTTGTGCACCAGTTTTTGGCCAAGCTCAATATTCCCCAGATCCAACAAAAACCTTCCTCAGATCTCATCCCTTGTGACTTTTTCCTCTTCAAAAATCAAATCCTACTAGAAAAGGACAAGATTACAAGACATCACAGAAATCCAAAGAATGTGATGAGGCAACCATTTGTTATCCTAAAAAAGAAATGCCAGGAAGCTAAAAATTCTTGCAGACAATGGCAATTCAGTAATTACTTTGAAAAAGATTAAATGCTAAATTGATATATGTTATAGTTTTCTTTTTATACCATCAGTCCCAATACTTTTTGATCAGACATTGTACATTAACATGGAACATATATAGGAACATTGGGTCAGGGGAGTGATATTTTTACTAAAATCTTCATAAAAACAATTCCTCCTACTGGTGGCCAAAAACAATATTTTTTTATTAATATTCCAGTGCCAAGTTATAAATATCTATAAAGATATTTGAATATTATTTTGTACAATACCTGTTGTAACAGTAATTCAGTTGTACCTTAGACAATTTAGTTAACAATTCAATGAGCATAAAAAAAAAACTCTTTCACATATTTGACAATTAAAAACCACACATACTGAGTTTTATTGGAATGAATTGTGTTTGGAGATTTGAAAAGTCATTGTAATTATTCCATAGGTTATTTGAATGAGTATCCTCATCTTTGTTTTCTATATGTTTTAGCCAATGAATTCTACCCTTTTTAGGTGTATAGTTATTGTCTTTTGACTTTTATAAATGATTCTAAACCTGGATGTCAAACATTCTTGCAGACAATGGCAATTCAGTAATTAATAAAAAATATGTTTACATATAACAGTGTGTGTGTGTGTGTATATATATATATATATATATATATATATATATATATACACACACACACACACATATATATATTATTTAATCAGTATCACCACTAAGACACAAGGGATTACATGGTATGGAAGAATTAGGAACAGAACATTAATAATGAGTACAAAGAGAAAAGAGTAATCAAGAGGATGGTAGATAGCGATTACATTTAAATTTTTGCAGCTTATAGTCGGCTGGAAAGTATGGAGCCAGAATGGAGTTCCACAAGTGAGAAGTGCGAGAGAAGAAACTTAGCATAGAACTTATAACTAAATCTAGACAGCTTAACTGTAGATTGATGAGATCTCAATGCCAGTCTAGTACTAGTGTGTGTGTGTGTGTGTGTGTGTGTGTGTGTATATATATATATATATATATATATATGAATGAAAGAAATAGAGAAAATGTTACTGAGGAGAAAAAGCACTAAAAGGACAGGATTCAAAAAGATAGTAGATGATTACTGATGTTGCATTTAAATTTTTGAAGATCATAATTCACAGGAAATCAAGAAGAGTTCCACAGATTATAAAAAAAATATAGGCCATTTCCCTTTGGTAGATGGATCCTGCTGATAATAAGAAGAGTCTATTATAAACTGATAATGGGCATAATCCAAAATCAGGCGATAAATAGGATCTCAAGATACCAACAAAAATATGGAGCAAAGAGACATGTCTCTAGTCCACTCAAGAAACTGGCATGCTGGGCACAAGGTAACCTGAATAATGCAAGAACAATGAAGTTAATACAAGCAGAATATTAACTCCATTCAGAAAAGTGAATTATCTATTTCAAACAGATATGTATTAAGGTTTCGTCTCCAATGATTTGACTTTTAACCGTTAAAAGAATACTTTTTTTTTTTAGCAATCATCTATTCTCTTTCATGTTATGCATTGTGTTGCTTGTATAAAGTATGTTTTACAATGTTCAATTGTTTCACTTTGTTCATTAAGCCATGACTCAATTTTTTTGTTTACTTTGGGGGGGAATCATTAAGTTTCCCCACAAGATCAAAAGTGAGATAGAAGAAAGTATTAGAGTAAAACTTATGGTTACATTTAGTAATTTTAACAGTAACATGATGAAACCCAGTTGTCAATGTATTATTACGTTTAAATTCGTAGAGCCGAGCTACCAAAGAAAAAAGCTCATCAAAACAAATATCATGAAAATATTTATAGAAAAGCTGTCACAGTGGTGAGTAAGTGATTGAGTTGCAGATTCTTTAAATTAGTAAAAATACTAACAGTATAATGTCTTGTTTTCTTAATCAACTAAATGCCAATATCCACATAACATTAAAGCACTTGTTGGCTTCTCATGTTTCCTCTTGTGAGATTTTCTTGTGGCAAAGGTGATATGCTTTCTTTTCTTTCTATATATGTTCCACCATGCCTGACCACATGGTTTCACCTTGAATAATGGCCTTTTTGCGGTTTTCAAGACTTTTAGTTTGTCCCTGAAATGCAGAAGTTTGCAGCATTTTCTTTTCATATAATCTTTTATTCATATAAATTCATGGCATCATCTGGGCATAAAATTATTTTCCCCAGGTTTTTATGACTTTATGTCATCTTTCACTTAAATTGTTTCATTCTATCATAAAAGAACAATTCTGGTTATGATTTGATGAATTTGTCAAGGAATTTTGTGATATCTTGAAATTGACAAACCTAGTGACTACATAAGTGTCATATGCAACAGAACAAGTAATAATCTGAAGGTAACTGGTCTGGATAATATGTTGCATGTTGAAGAACTTCCCATCCCAGCTTCATGCTTGTTTATTGTCTCACATTTACAAGATTAGAACAGATGTTGTAATGCAGAAAAATCACTGGTTAACTTTGTTGCTCAGTGAAATGTCTCTTTTGTTTCAATGTGTCATTCAAACAAGCTAAATGCTCACTATTACAATATTCAATGACAACTATAACAGTTATTCCCAACTGTGGGCAGTACCACTCCCTGCGGGTGGTGAGAGTAAAAGTGGGTGACCAGAGGGTGGTAATGGCACATCTGAATCACAACATACACACACATTGTACCTGAAGTTTCTCTTGCCTTCACTTTACAGTATATCCCATTTATATAATATTTGGTGGGTGGAGGGCATTTGGGTTGTGTTTTGGTATATAAAGGCTGGCAACCCCAAAAGGTTTGGGAACTACTGAACTATACAAATAAAAGCTAGTCTCAGTCCTAGATAGACAAGGGCAAAAATCTGGTTATTTTCACTATTTACATTGTTTGGACTGTTGTCCTCATCTTTAATGCTACATTCACAATGTTTCGGCAGTTGTACACTTCAGCCTTCTTCAGGTGATATATGCTGAAATTTCAAACCGATCCCTTTATTTAGTCCACTGGGGTAGATAATAAGGATGAGGAGAACAGTCCAAGCAATGTAAATAGTGTAAATAGTTACAATAACTCATCTCAGAAATATAGACAAAAATCTGGTGGTATGGAAGTAAATGAAGTCCGAATAAATTTAACTCCTGACTTTTTGCCTTGCCTGGTGAACTAAAGCCTGAATGAGATTCTAACAGTCACATCTAAGTAGAAAAGAAAACACACGTGCTTAGCTGTAATTACCTATTCGACTTTCAAGGGTCATCAGAATATCCTTGACATTCGTGATAAATTCTTCAGCAAAAGCAGTGCTTTTGGAAACTAAGATTGTGTTAGGGTCATCAAAAATCTGTTCAACGCAATTCTGAAATTAAAAAAAAAAAAAAAAAACTTTGTAAAATTATTCATTTTTAATGGAAAAACAAAATCTAAAAAGAAATCATTAAAAAAAAAAAAAAGATCAGCTTTACACTTTGCTGTTTCTATCTATTCAGGTTTCATGACTGTCACTTCTCACTTGATAACTGTGTAACATATTTCATCATCTAAAAGAACTTCATCGGACTAAAACAATTGATAGGATTATATATACATAAGGGGAGAGATAAATGTATATGTTGGTTATAAATATGTCTCTTAGTTACTAGAATAACTGTGTGCATGTGTTTTTTGTTGTGTCTATGCAGATGGGAAGATATAAGACTGACCTGAAAAATAACTCCATCTAATAATTGTCCTTCCAAGGTGAGCATCAACTTCTCAAATGGACGAAGTTTTTCATCTGGAATGTTGAATTTTGTAGGATTGTGTCTTACACTCTTCAACATCCTGTCAAAGAATATCATTAGAGCATTTTAATACACAAGACTAATGTAAAAAAATTTGTAAGTAAGATACAAATTACAATACACGATAAGTTAGGATCAAATATAATTCAAATATGGATTAGAATCTGACAGAATGATACAATAAAGAATAAATACAAAACGTTTATCAAACATGTTTCACTTTTATTAAAGCTTCATCAGAGAATGAGAAATGGAGAAAAAGAAGAAATTCTGGTTATTTTTACTTTTGTATTTGATTTTCATTGGTCAATCATGTTTCACATGCATTTAATTCTTTAAACAAACATTTGTATAATTTGTGGCATTCAACTAGAGATGAATGTGTCCATCTGGAGTTTCGAGAAATTAATGGATTTCAATCTTACCTGAAAAACCCTAAATATTGCTATATGTAAGTGTATAAATATTTTAGTTTGTCTATATGGGATTCAGATGATAATGTGTATTTGTGTGTGTGTCTAGTAAACATGTTTGTTGGATTTTTGCATGTTCATTTAGGAATGTTTTTGCATAAATACTATTTGTTTTAGATAAACATACGTTAGATTCTTTAAGAATGGATTCAATAAAGGTTGATGATGTAATATGTTTTCAACGTGTGTTTATAGTTGGTAATATTGTTATTAGTAGACCCTCAAAATACTTTATAAAGAATTATGTTCTTTTTTAATTAGGGTGGCATTAGTAAATACATGATAAAAAAAAAAATATTTAGAAAATATTTGTAGATCCACAGTGTTATCTTCAGTCATCCCCCAGTCTTTGCTGAAACAGAAGAGTAAAATGGCTGTCTTGTTTTCAATTTAGTTAAACTGTATTGTTTATGTAAAAAATCATTACTACCATTAAGTGCTGAAAGGCCAATATTTTAATCCAATGCCAAAGTTGAAATTACTGCAATAACCAGATAAAAATGTTTTTCATCTAATACAAGGCCTGGGAACCACCCAAGGTAGAGGGTTACAGAGTAAGAGGCACAGTTTATGTGAATATGTGGGGCAGATAATGGTTAACCCTTGATTTGAACAGGTCAAGAATGTAGCAATTGGGAAAACATCCTCTTGAGAGTCAGTTTCACAGAGCAGTGGTTTGTATGAAGAAGTTACTTGAGTGGAACTCACATCTCACCAATGCAACATGAAGGGAATGTGTGCGGTTTGCTACAATGTAAGTAGCATGGCATATGAAGGTTAGAACTGGTAGAACTAAGGAATGTAGTTCGTTTGATTACTTTCCATAGAAATAGCGATAGAGCAACGAGAGGCTTGCAATGTTTTGTCTGTGAGAGAGGGTTTGTAGGGTGGAAAATAATTTGTCACCCACAAGAATGCAGAGACACATTTGAGCTTTATTGAGACTGGAAAGTGAAAACTGGACAGTTCTTGCCCATATTTGATAGCAGTACTCCATTTATGGCCAGAATAAAGAAATAGTAAATTTGGTAAACACTGGAGCACTAAATGGTGACTGTTGAAAAATAAGCTTGTAATATTAAAAAGAAATAAAATTTATTTCATTTTGATATCAGTTTGTAGCACAAAGTAAAGAAGCTCACAACTAAACATATGGTTAGCAAATTGATGTTACTATGTTAGGGGTTGTCTATTGAAAAAAACCCAAAAAACTAAGTGCCATGAAAATAGAAAAACAAAAGTGTGAGACAAAATAAGATAAAAATATTTACTCTATTGAGAACATCTTTTATGCAGAAAAAGTCGCTGTAAATAAGGAAGGAAAAGTTGAACTTAATTTGCTGGTCAATCAGAGAGTGTCTGAGGCGTACTGCCTATGCCGTGTTGAGTCTATTGCCAAGAGTGGTAACTTTTTGTGATTATGTTGCAATGTTGGCCTGAAGTAAAGGAGAACTAACCACCCAGGTCCACAGCATACATATCCTCTGATTTTTTTTTCTTTTTACACATATCAAAAAGCTAAAACCGGGTTACTTCTGTTGATAGCTTTTTTTTTTTTTGTGTGTATGTCTGCCTGATAAAAAGGTTTAATCAGGCCTAAAATTTGTTTTATAGGATTGGAACTTTAACAATCATATATATATATATATATATATATATATATATGGCTGTTGAGATTATGTAGATCTTTGCTTATTCCACCATTGGGGTCTTTGGGGGCATTGGTCACATTCAGTCTGGTCCTTCCTCTTCAACCTTACAGCTATGGGTGGCCCTACAAGACTTGGAACTCCAGACAGTTTCACACTTGGGATCACTAACAAGCAAGCCCTCTACCATGACAAGAAACGACTATATATATTTTACACTGGATGTCAGAGTCTATTTATACACACACACACACACACACACACACACTAGACTATTTAAGAGACTTAATTCTGAAGAATTCATAAAATTAAATTATATATGAGTCACTGAGAACAGGTGGATTGAAAGTAACAATTTTAACATCTAGAAACATATCAGTTGATGTCAGTTTTGTTTTTGTTCTTAGAGAGGGACCCTTAATAAAAACTAGCAGTAGAGCCCAGCGTTGCCCGGGGATATAACAGTAAGAGATAGATCAAGTATCCACCATCATAAAGACAGAAAAATAAAATTGACAAAGATTATTGTTTAAGGTTGACGGACACGCATGTCTTAATTATTTATTTTTTTTTTTTTTTTTTTTACGAATTGGTCAAACCCAAACTCAAACAAAAACATTGTTTTCAATCGTTATGAGTCTCCCAATTGAATAGAATTTTGTTATAAATAATTGTCTTGTAAATGGAATTTTTAAAGCATTCTGAATGTTAAAAATAAAGAAAAAAAAGTGCAAGAGAATAAGAAACACTACCTGCCAAAAAAAAAAAAAAAAAAAAAAACAAAGTTTTGTTTTATCGGCTGAAAAATATAGGAAATCCGATGTGAGTTGTCCCCCTTCCATTTTCACAATGTCTCTTAATCGTGTTTTGAAATTGATTTTGTGCAAAAACAATTATATTTTTCCCATTTTTGGCGCTGTTAGAATCACCACAAGGTAATTTTATGTAGTCCTGTGAAGTTTTGTTGAAATCGGTTGAAAAATGTAGGAAATCCGATCCAATATATAAACGTTACAGACACACACACACACACACACACAATCTGCGTTTTATAATAAGTAAGATGTTTCAATATTTCCTGCCGTAGTGTGCAGAAGGAGGTGAGGGGAGGGGGCAACAGACCTGGGCATCCATCTTGAGAGGACATGCAATCAAGGAGTGAAATAAAAATTTAGCATATATTGAAATTGAATAAGTGTTTATTTCATGTTTCATCTGTTTTTTCATTTAAAATGGTTTCTTTTCTCACATTTCTCTGTACTAGGCCCTATAGGATTCTCTACTTTAGTCTTAGGGGCATACGATCAATGAGTTGGCCTCGGGCATCACCAAACATCACTAAACCTCTGCATGTCACTGACATCCTATGATTCCTTACATAATAGAATGCATCTTTTCATAGACCTTTTCTAAATGATCATAGGAGGAATCACATGTTAAAATGATTTCTTCAATTCCCCTGACTGACTGGATTAACTTAAAAAAGTAATAGTACCACGTCTTAACTAAACTATTTAATATGCTCCTTGAAAGTCACACAGCTAACTTCCAAACAGCACCCTCTGGTTACAGATATCTTGCTGTTCTTTTTAAGTGTAAACTCATCTTATTGTCATTTCCACCCTTTGTCTTAAACAGCACATGACAGTTTGTGATTTGATGTACACCCTAGTGCAAATTAATTGAAACAAAACGACTAATTCCATTATTACTTACTTCTTTACGTATTTTTCCAATGAAACATGACCCAGTGCACATGTTAGTACTTCGTACATCCATTCTACAAAGTCGTTCCTTGCAGATTGAACACAGACTCTCAATTGGATTTAAATCAGGAGAGTTTCTGCACCAGTCTATAGTACTTTGATTTGCTCACTTGCCAGTGTGTTTGTGCAGTGTTATAATTTTCGCATGCTTCCTTGAAGTAATGTCCACTGCAGACAATGGCTGTAGTACAAATAATCAACAGTTGAGACAATAGTGTCTGGGCGCGATAAAAATCTGATGCAATCACGGAAGTCGCAATATTTTTCAAGGCCAAATAAATTTCTTCATACACCCCCAAAAATAGATTCATATTACTGAACACCACTACAAATGACTTAATCTGAGGAAAAAATAGAAATCAATTACACACTGTCACTCCACTGAGTCTAAAACTGGCTGTATAATGAAAGAAAGGAAACTAAAGCGGTAGTCTCAATTAATTTGCACAATTTATAAACAATGTCATCATTATTATATTTGCTTCTATTAGGTTGGTGCAAAAATAATGTCGTTTTCTCACATATGTTACTTTTATATATGATTTCTGAATTAATTCATTGATATATATATATAGCCATGTTATATATCATTTTTTGAAGCGCGCGTTTTTATCTATCGAATCGTGTTATTCGTTACCGTTCTCAATCTCTTCATTCATTTTTTTTGCAGGCTTTTCGACAGCATTGACAAAATTCAAATCCGCATGATTTTCTTGTTCCAGTTCAAACTAGGCCGAAAAGCTGTCAAGACAGCTCGTGATATCAATGATGCGTTTGGCCCAGGAACCACTAACGAACGTGTGGCACAATGGTGGTTCAAGAAATTTCGCAATGGTGACGAGAGCCTCGAAGATGAAGACAGTTGTGGCCGGCCGACTGCGGTTGATAACGAACATTTGAAAGCCTTAATTGAAGCTGATCCTCGCAAAACCACACGAGAAGTTGCTGTTGAACTTGAGGTCGACCACTCAAGTCGTTCGCCATTTAAAGCAAATAGGGAAGTCAAAAAAGTTGGATAAATGGGTGAACGATAATCAAAAAAATCGTCAAAAAACGACATTATTTTTGCACCAACCTAATTATACTTGTTATGAACTAAAACATTTCCTGATGACTGCAGTATGCACTGTTCTTGCAGATATATATACTGACTATATGTCAACAGGAAGATTATAATAAATGGTGAAAAAAGCTGACTGAGTGATCTAACCTTTTATATAATGTCCAATGGTCTTTAAGTACAGCATGGTTCTCAATAATTTTGTCCAATGTGATGAGAACAGTAAGTAGATCACCAAGATGTCCAAATACAACCTGCAAGTAATATGAAAAAAAATAAAATAAAATAAATGGATTCAATGAAAATATAGCAAAATACATCAAACAATTACAAATTCTACATTCTTTCAAATCATTTTTGTTGGCTGCATCATAGACTACTTTACTCAGACTGGTATCCTCATTTTGGTTGTAACAGTCAATGTTTCAGCCACTGCACTTTTTGGAATTGTTCAGTTACTGTCATGGTTGATTTGTTTTTTATGGCTTAACAACATTTGGCAGGTTATTTAAAGTCAGAAAATATGTTTAGGTTGTAAGAAATTTTTTTGGAGATAACACTTCTCAGATATCTAAATTTCCACACCTGCTTGATTTTAGTGTCCCTGACCTGTGAATTGTATTTCAGGCTCATCCTTTCACTGATGACTATGCATAAATTAAATAAAGAGTTCTGTTTGATTCCCTGTAAGTTACCCAGATAACAACAACAGAGGTGAGGACAATAGTGGAGAAGCAAATTGGTATAATAGGGAAGAATTGATGGGTATAGTAGACAATACAAATAAAATGACATCAAATAAGGTATTCTCTGCATACATATTTCATGCATGACATTTTCACATGTGTGTTTGCTACCAGAATTATCTCCAGAAAATACTGTGACCACAGCTGCTTGATTCTATTACTTACCATTTCTTTGAATTATGTTTCTAACACGAGAAAAGTCTTTCTCAATATACTTGTAAAATTTGGGACCTAAAAGTTATAGAATGGTTGGAAATACATTGGAATATATTTATCAAAAATAAAAAACAAAAAAAATAGTGAAACATTTGCTTTTGTTTTAATAAGTCTTTGTGGAATATAAAAATATCAATAAATCTGCTAATATAAGAAATAACAATAGATTGACATTAAAAAGCTCAGTTGCACTCAAAAAAACAAAAAAAAAGAAAAACAAACAACTTACTTGAAAGTGAACACCAGTAACATCTATTAGTTTAGTTCCTGATCTAAAATAAAAAAGAAATTTATTTTGTAAAAAGAAAATACATTTCAACTAATTAGTTTTCATTTATATCAGTGCCTATCATGTCATAAGGTACCCTTGCAAGTGGTAATATATATGATACTAAGAGAATCATACTGACTATGATCCTCTAGTTTGGAGACACAATAAAAGGAGAAGAATTGATTGATTGACTTTTTTTTATGGCTTATCAACCATTTGTGTGTTATTTAAAGCTGAAACATATTTTGGATTATAAGAATATTTTTTCTTTTTGAGTGAATATTGCATTAACAATTATTTTGAGAATAACAATGATTTTTGCAGATACAAGTCATAATATTTAACTTATAGATGGGGGAGAAAAGAGACAGGTTCATACATTTTTCAAGGATATCTGTGCATAAGTAAACATAACGAACTTGACTGGAATTAAAACTTGGCACTCAGATTTCTCCTCCTGAGCTGCTATCCATTACACCACCTGCACATCCACAAATGCAGAAGGAATAATGTGAAGCTGGGTATTGTAACAAGAATAGCTTTACTACTGGTCAACTTTAAATGCAAGTGTGACCTGCCACCAGAAATATCTGAGTTTGAATATTAAAAGCTAGACTAGACTTTGTAAAACACAAAGGCAACCGAGTTTCGGTTCATCAACCCCCATGGAATGAAATAAATATATTGGACATGGAAGAACATTGGAGCATTAGACATCTGAAAGAATCAGTGCATATGCTAACTATGAGGACCTTCTTGGTAGACCTAGCATAGAAATAAATACAGTATGACCAGGGACACAAATCTCAATTAGTTGTTATTTCTTGCTGTTGCCTTTGTAAAATAAATATGCTCTACAGAATTCTATGCAAAATTATTAACATCTGTTTATATTTCTGAGATGAGGTATTGTACCTATTTACATTGTTCAGACTGTTGTACTCATCTTTACTGTCATATTCAATGGATAAAAGTGTTGGTTGAAGTAACCTAGTGACTTGATCCAAAGAGTTGTGAGTTCAATACCTGCCACAGCAGACGTTAAAAAAAAACTTGGAGAGTTAAGTTACTAAAGGGAAACTGAAACTGAGATATCCAGAAAAGGCATGTCATATGGTACTAGACCAATATAGCCTGAGTGATGAAATAAAGGGTTTGATTCAAAATTCCAATGGATATCACCTGAAGAAGGCAGGAGCATACAACAGCTGAAACATTGTGAATATGACAAGATGAGGACAACAGTCTTAACAATGTAAATAGTGTAATAATTAATAACATAATAGCATTAACTCTGTATTAGTCACATAGGGTGTCTTTTTACCACAAATTTTTTTAAGTAGTCATAATTCCTGGTTGCCAACTTGTTTCTTCTGCTCCGTCCCACTTGTCTCCTAACTCAGCAAGGGCGTGTAGCATGCAGTGTGGTGCAGTTGTAGCTCAGTTGTCGTGGGAGGTAGATGTTGTTTTGTCTTTTTTGAGGTGTCTTGTTACCCAACGCAACTAATGAAGGTAAGTTTTCATGATTTATATTCTTTATATATATATATATAGATAGATAGATAGATAGATAGATAATATTAGTGGTAAATATACATATACATATGCAAAATATATAAATATATATACATACATGCATACACATACATATATATTTTGTATAAAAAATTCCAAGAGGATAGAATCCAGGTAGAACTCAACGCCCAGGACAGAGTAAGGATATAATAAAAAGGCTTAAACACTTTTTTTATATATATATATATATATATATATATATATATATATATATATATATATATATATATATATATATATAAAATACATATAAGTACTAAACAATATTATCATTTTTTAAATTACGGCTCTTAAAAACAGAAAATTCCTGTCTATTTTTTTTTTTTTGACAATTCTTAAAAGGCCAGCCTAGACAAGCACACCCAACATGTTGCCTTTCCTGACTTTGTTCTCCGACTGGTTAATCAGAGATTATCCTGTTTTCAGGCTGGTTGATTTTACATTTCAACCCTTGTTGGATTATTTAATGTCAAACTTTGTATAAGTTACCCAGTGAGGAACAAACTGACTACTCAGTAAAAATAATCAACAAGCCTTATTTACACTATTTACATGCAGACTATTATCCTCATCTTCATTGCTGTTATGTTTTGCCCATTGTAGCCTCTAGCTTTCATCAGGTGTATGTCAATCTGGCTAACCTACAGTGAATTCCAAACTGAACCTATTATTTAATTGGGGTGGGGAAGAAGGGGGCAGACAGTTCTCATTCCACTGCCTATATTTAAGGCTATCTAGTTCTTATTTTTAGTAGTGATCAGTTATTGCTTGCCCTGTTTCTACTGAAGTTACATACTGCCCGCCCCAGATATTGAACTGTAGGTTACCTGATTGACATACACCTGATGAAGACTAGAGGCCACAATGGCCGAAACATTGTAATAAGTACAACAAAGAGGAGGACGATAGTCCACATGTAAATAGCGTAAATAATAACTCCTCAGTCCTAGAAATTCAGATAGACTAGCTTTGTTAACCATTACCCCATACTGAGTAGCCTGTTATCATGTTATAACAGCTTGCAATTTGAAAATGAGATTAAAGAAAAAAATTATCAATACATTGGTTTGGGATAATCTGTATTTGCATATAATCATCATCTTTACCAAGAAATTTAATTTATTTGTTTTGTCTAATATAAAATCATTTTTGATAAAGATCAAGCTCATCATTATTATCATAATAATCCCCAAAGAAAAACTGGAAAGTCAAGCACATTTAGAGTGTTGTGTATGTAAATATATTACTTATGAAATTGATAAGCAAATAGGTCATTTGACTCTTTGAATTCAAACTGATAAAAATAAATAGCTGACTAATTATGTACATTCTGCAATGAATACTTACTTAGGTGTTGTGTACAAGGCAGCCAACTGTTGAACGACATTCTTTACGACTTCATAAATGCGAGTCACAAAACAAGACAGTTCCTGAAAAAGAAAATCATTAGGTGATTTTAAAAAAAAAAAGATAAAAAAAATGTTTTTCCATTTTTTAAATAGAAGTAAAGCGACGAATTGCAATCCTTCTGCTTAAAATGCTGAAACAAAATATGCAGTTAATCTGGATATTTTACAATAACCTGTAAACAATTAGTTTCCAAAGTTAGGTTACATTTTTTAAAATTTATTCCAAACAGACAAGCATTTTTATCTTTCGCTAGTATTTATGGCATCTTAATTTGAGTTACAAATCATCACAACTTTCCAGACCATCAACTCTATGGATTTTAACCAACAGGATGGACATTTTTTTAATCATATCACCCCATGTAAGGCAGTAAAGCCACTAAGATATAAGGAGTTATTGAGTGTGAAAGAATAAAAAAAATGAGAAACATTATTAAGGAGCAAGAACAATAGAAGAGTAATCAAAAAAACAGTAGAAAGTAATTGATATTGAATTTAAATTTTTGAAGATTAAAGTTGACTGAAAAGCATGGCGCCAGAAGCGAGTTCCACAAGCAAGAAGTTTGAGAAATGAAATTGTTAGCATTGAAATATTTAACCAATTCAATTGTGAATTGATTAGACCTTGCCACCAATCTGCACTTAAATTCATAAAGTCTATAGTGAAGAATTAAAAAATAAAAATAAAAAAACTACTGGCAAGACTTGAATTTATGTCCTTTTCTACATTGGGAGCCTGTCAATATACAACAGATGATTTATTGCTTGAGATGGATGAAAGTTCAAGTATTGTGTTGACCCCCCCCAATCTGCATAGTGTTGACTTCAGGTAAAACAAGCCAATAACATGAATCCTATTATATAAAACCAGTTTTCATTGTGTTTTGAAAGGTCAAATATGCAACACACATACATAGGCATGTTTGTACATGTGTCTCCAAGTTAATCTGTCAAATAGCTAAGTACACATCATTCATTCAAAAGTCAACTTCTTGTTAATTGGAGCAAGGAATGGCTTGTTAATTTTAAAACCACCAAAACAAAACCGTTCTCTTTTAACCATCTGAGAGAATGTTTTCCATCAGCATCGCTGATGCTAACCTCCAGGCAATTGACACACTGTGCCCTCTAAGATTAACATCAAGTGGAAAAAATTATATTAAATCCTTTAATAGGTCTGCTGCTAGGAAAATTGATTCACTGTACCATGCTAGACAGTTTTTATTGCGAAAATCTATCTTACATACTTATAAATCTACCATTCATCCATGCATTGAATATTGCTGCCACATCTGGGTTGGTGCTTCTGCTATATGTTTAGAGATTCTTGATAAAATTCATAGAAGAATCTGCAATGTTAGTGGCCATGGCCTGGCATTTTGGCTTTAGTTATTGCCTTTTCTATAAACAATTTCTGACAAACTTTTTTCTATGGTATCTAGATTCTATGAATTTAAGTACAGTACTAGATTGGTGGCAAAGTCTCATAACGTTATAATTGAAATGGTGAGATGTAACTGAGTTTTATGCTAACAATTTCTTCTGTCACATTTCTCACTTGTGGAACTCTCTTCCAGCTTCTTGCATCCCAGCCAATTTTGATCTTTGAAAATTTAAGTGCAATGTCAATTGTTATCTTCTGTCTTCTTAATTCCTGTTCTTTTATTATTCTTGCTCCTTAATAGTGTTTTTTTTTCTCATATTCCTTAACTCAGTAACTCCTTGCATCTTAGTGGCTTTATTCCCTTGCTTGGGGTGAAATGATTTAAAAAAAAAAAAAAAAGCCCATAACAATATATAATGATTACATCAGTACTGAAATTTATAATTTGAGATTTATATTATATATTTATAAAACAAATAATCTGAAACATCTGATTATAATGACACAACAGTGGTCCAGTGTATTCAATAATGGTATTAGTGAAGCATGATATTGTATTGAATAGATACATAACAGCAAATGATTGCACTGCCATTATACAGCAGTGGACCAGCACATTTAATAATGGTATTATTTTGCATGAGGAATGAACACAGAAAAAAACAGCAAGTGAGATTAGCAAGACAGCCATTGTGTGTTAGCTGAAAGACAGAAAAGTGGATAAGGCTGGCTCCATTGTAAAAGAGAAAAGAATTCACCTGCAGTAATGGCATCATCCGACCCATTTGGATTTGACCCTCACACTCTGGCAGGTTACTGTCCACCTCTGAAAAAAGGAAGAATAAACTAGAAAATTGTCTTTTCAATTGTAGGTGTAGGTGTGGTACTTGTTGTTGTTTAACATGAAACTGATCAGTACAGCATAACATAAGAAATCCAGTGATAAAAAGGATTTCATTTCTATGAGTTAAGATCTAAAGGTTAAAACTTCTGATAATAAGTTTTTAATATTTTTCTTGCACCTTGAATAATTTATAACAAAACCGAAATATTACATATAATTTAATGCACTTAATTTTCATTGATGCTTATTGTTTTTTTTTTTTTTTTATTAATTTTGAAAACTATCCATTGGTTTTTATTGAAACAACCTTTTAGCTAATCTTTAGTTATTAAACTAAGCTGCAGGAATTAAAAAAAAAAACATGTTACTTTTGATCCAATTAAAGCTAGTTAAACTACCAAAACTGTCAAAGAATAAGAAACATCATATTAGACACTCCATGATAACACATTCTTAAAACAAGAGCCAACTGCAATCTGTATGGCATCCCAAGAACTATATACAACAAAACACATACTAACAAATTGTAGCAACTTCAGCCAAATCTGTTTAAAATACTACCAAACAAAAAACATCAAAGAACTCTTTCAGGACATTAATTTATATATCCTACAATTTCTGAAAGAAATCAATCTATATTCTAAAATATAATTTCAACAAAACTGCAACATAAAAACACACATATCACTACTTCCATACAAACATGTATATGCACAAAAAGCTGAGTATCATCTACCATATATTCAATTGTGAAGGCAGTATATCATTTTTGCGACTTAAAAGCTACCATGAAAATTAAATTTAGACATTAAATGACCCATAAGGAGTTGATATGCCATTAACCAAATCAATCAAAAGCCCATGACTATACAGATAGCTCATTTGTAAACAAAACATTTTTTTCTTTTGAGTCTATTCCATGTTGTAATGTTGAATACCAAGTAGAAGTATTTCTATATGAATTTCTAGGATGAGTGATCACTATTTATTAATAAATACAAAAAGAGAATTGATAGGGAAGCTTCAACAGCAGCAGTAGGAAAAGAGAAACCGCAGTAAATGTAGTCAAGCATCACAAGCAGCAGCAGCAATGTCAGCATCAGGCAGAATAGGTCTAATGCTCCGAGTTCTAGACTCAGGATTGTCCCACAGGAGAGTAGCCTAGTTGATGAAAGTGTTGGTTCATGAATTTGGCCATATACTAAGTGCAAATTCAATCCCTGGGGTGGATAGTTCAGTGGAAATAGGGTGAGCAATAATTCAGCAGTACTAAACAAGAAGATGATGACATATCACTATTGCCGCAGATTGTTCAATACCCACAGAATTGACCTGTGGTTTATACTGCAACTATGCTTAGCAGACCTTAGTTACAGTTTCTGGGAAAGAGCACATTATCTTGCATGATCAACATTCAACTCAAGGTAAATATACTCAAACATTCGGTCATGATTATTTGTGACTATATGCTAGCTCAACCACTGACAACTCTCAAATAGTTCCGTCTACCCAATTTTAGTCACAAAACTTGGGCCAACCCATGATGTGGTTTTCAGGCACTTTCCAAAAATGATGCATGCTGAGATTGTTTCTACAGGCCGATAGCATTAAGAAATCACCTTCCTGAAAAATCAAGCTTAGTGAGATTCACACCTGGGTCTCATGGTCAGAAAGTAAATGTTTTAATCATTTGGCCACATGTCCATATATATATATATATATGTGTGTGTGTGTGTGTGTGTGTGTTTATGCTTAGTAAAAATTCAGATATAACTAAAAATATATCAGTAAAAGGATAATATGAATAAAGACATAAGTTCTTTTATCTTTACGTATATATATTTTATATATATTCAACATAATTAAATTACAGGAGAAAATTTTACTTACCTCCTTCACCATAAAAGAGAAGGGCATTGTAGAACTTTTGTTTTGCTTCATGTTCTAAGGTCTGGATTTCTGCACACAGACTTGCCAGTACAGTGATAACCTTGTTGAGAATTTTGTTATTTGTCTTAATCAAGTTCAGCAAACTTATTTGTTCATAAGGCAGGAACTGGAAATAAAACAAGAGAAAAGCAATAGATACATCTCAGTTTGAACAGAATTCCAACTTACAAGTTCATTCCTTTTAATAAATAGAAAATATGAGTAACAATGTTTAATGGTTAAATTAATGATCAAGTTGAAAGTTCAATATTTTACAAAAAGGTGTTAAAAATATTTCCGAGGGTCACTACTTAAAGAGAGTGATCTACTCATAAACAATAAAGAAAATGATTTTTGGAAATAATTATTGTAGATTAGCATTCTTTAGATCTTCCTTCGGCCAAAAACACTTGTTAGAATAGAAAAATATTATCATTTTCTAAAATGATTAAAAAAAAAAAAAATCAAAAAAAAATCAGTATTTTCTATTGAGAGGAATCCTGTTCATAATAGTGCAAAAATCAATCTCTGACTTTTACAGAGTTATTAAACTAATTTTTATTTACAACTGTCAAGTTTCAAATTGTGGTAACATCATTGATATTTGCATATTCTTTTAACTTTCAAAACATTTTTTTTCAGAAGCACATGCACAGGGTGCGATGGATAAATTGTTGTCTAAATTATGCAAAAATGAAAATAACATTGACATTTCATCTTAACAGATATATTCACCAAAATTACACAAAAATATCTTGGAATACTAAAGAGTAAATTCATTCAATAAAATCATCATTGGCTTCAACTACAACCTCTAAACTACTTCAGAATCTCCTGCAACTCTTCTGGACAGTCTCCTTTTTTAAGTTGGTGAATGCTGCCGTAATCCTTGCCTTCAGTTCATCTTTGATGTTACAAGGAGTTTTGTTGGGCTATTGCTCAACTGTACCCCACATACAATAATCAAGTGGGTTGGGCACCTCGAGGTGGTGTAATAGTTAGCAAGCTTGTCTTGCTAGCACAATTATAGCTGAGTAGTAAGTTCGATCCTCACTGGGTGCCCCATACTTTCGGCCTTGTGCCACATCTGAGCTACGCTTGGAAAATCACTCCAATAATCAAGGGGGTTGCGGTCTGGTGAGTTAGGTGGCCAGATGTAAGAAGTGATGTGATCATAGAAATTGCCTTACAGCCATGACTGGGTTCTTCTGTTTGTGTAGCATGGTGCAGTGTCCTGTTGCCAGACATAGGTTGTTCCAGCAGCCACCCTCTTGGCCTGGAGCAGCACTACCTCCTTAAGGCACATGATATAGGTCTCTGTGTTGAGTCCGAAGCCCTCACCAACAAATTCAGGAGATCTTTTCTTATCAGAACAATCAGAGTATGTTTTCTGAGCTGACATACCTTCATAATCACAATTAGACTCATCCAACTCTTTCTGAATCCTGTGCAGTGTCCTTAGATTGACAGCCAAACATCTTTAAATGTTTGGAGATTCTGGCAGAGTGAATTGTGTCATGGTGCTCTCTTTCTCAGAGACAGTGCCCAACTGACCCCACTATACTGCGCAGTCAACAAAATAAAAAATAAGCAACATGAATGTGTGAAATTAAAAATATAACAATTTAACCATCGCACCCTGTAATAATTATTTATCTTAAATGAAAAATAAAGAGATATATACTTTTATTAATTTATGTAAATTTTTTTTCTTTAATTATATATATATATATATATATATATATATATATATATATATATATATATATATATCCCACTTGCTCATATCTAAAAGAAATCTTTTTATCACCTCCCCCAATAAACAGCCAAGTCCAATAATTCCCAGCACTAATATTCTGTTAATTCCCATATCAATTTGACACTGTATTGACATAGGACTCTCTTTTAAATCAAAAAAAAAAAAAAAAAAATTTCAGGCTTGAGGTTTGTGTTTAAGCATGAAACAGACTGTCAGCACTGGGTGTTGGCCTCAATGTCCACTTATAAGAGCAATCAGAATTTGTAGCCTCAGTATTTAAATGAAGAGAAGAAATACATTGAAAATACTTTTATGCCCCTCCAATACCCTAATTATTTCATCATCAATGCAAAACAATGAGTTCTTAAAATATTTTAAAATAGAAAACCAGTCCTTCCTGAAAAATCTAATGAATCAAAATATATTGTTCTAACCATCAACTCTATCACAAGTACAATTGAAAAGAATTTATCTAAGCTTAACATAAAATTTGTTACAACTACTTCTAAAACAATAAAAGACTTGAATACAAAACAAAATAATAATGTAAAATTTGGAGGAATCATGGACCCCACATGACACATAACAAGCTGCATTCTAACAGGCTGATGTAATGTAAACAAAAAACAATGTCAATGGCCACTTACAAAATTGCTAATCTAAAAGAGAGGCAACTTTAAAAATTGAATTCTTATAACATAAATTAACAATGTACAATTACATAGAATTTATTACATGTTATTTCAATTCCCTAGACATGTTTTCAACACTAAAATATATATTTAGAATTTTTTTTACTAATCCATGAATTATAAACAGCTGTGAGTTACCTCACTTTTATGATTTTCAATTGCATATACAGCCTGTTTTGCAAATGAAAGCCTCCAAAACAATGACTGGTCCAAAATAATGATTTTATTTCAGCTGATACGATAAAGGATTTTATTCAATTGGAAGAAACAAAGTGTTGTCCTAACAGTTTTGAATTTTAAATAAAGGAAGATTATATTCTAATTTATAGAATAGTCTTTGACCCTGAAACACATTTTCCATCTATAAAAGAATGTATTTGCATTGATCAAAACCTTCATGTCTAGCTCCAGTGCGATGGAACCCCAATACCATTACCATATACATGGACATAATAATGCTAAACTCACAAGATGTTAGAAAATTTTCCAAACTACATACAAAACATGGTGGAAGAATAATCATACTTAATTCTAAAAGAATTAAAAAAGACATTACCAACCAAGAGGTTGTCCTTCATTTTCTGCAGAATTAATATGTTATGCCTTACTATTGTACTATACATCTCAACAAGCCTACAAATTACTTCTATCTTATATTACTTCATTTTTTTCTTTATTAGAGAGAATTAAAAAAAAATTAATGAAATGTTTTCAATATGAAATGCATTCCCTGGCCATGGTAGGCAATGATAGTAATGATGCTACAGAGAAATAGCATTTTGACTTACTTTCTCGGGGAGGTCTTACAATTCTAAATGGCAGAGTTTGTTTATGCTTGTTTTGCTATACTTGACTCTACAGATAAATTTATTGTAAAACATAATGAATCCACTACAAAAGAGTCTGCTGAAAGAATTTTGGAAATTTATTCTCCAAAATATATTTTTACCTGTAAACAACACACTGAAAAAGGAATTGACTTTGCAGCAAAAATTATTGTGAATATATTTTACAACAACAAACAAAAGTTTTCATCAGATGAAGTTCGAAAAAATATTGAAGAATGTTTTAAAAAAACATGGCAAAGGTCAAAAGAAAATTGACTTATAGAGAACTGTAGGTAAGTTTTTTACTAGTATTTGTTTTGTATTACTGCTTAATTCTTTAATAACTTTTTTGTTTGTTTATAATCTTTTATTATTACTTTTCTGTTTGTGTGTTTTTGGACAGGTTTTAACATACTTTAGATAAGAGAGACAAAATGACTATAAACCAAACAGGCCTATTAGAAATTAATCTGAAATTAGCTGTATACAGTAGTGGGCTGTGGAGGAATATATTCTATCACCTGTAATAATAGCCACAAGGAACATATAGGAGAAACATCAAGGAATTTAAATGAAAGATTATATGAACACAAAAGGGGGCTTTTACAAAACAACACACTCAATGTACTAGTTACTCACTATAATATGTGATCATAATTTTGATTTAAAAATGCTTCTTTAATTAAAACAGAAAGCAATTTACTAAGATGTAAATGTATAGAAAGTGCTTTAATCACTAGATCATCTACAGTAAATTTATGTTCAGGTTCTTACAATATTTCTTGGCAGATCTATTATCACAATGTGGAATATTTAATAATGAAATATTTAAAGGAAAAGAAACTAAATTAAACCGGCTAGACTATATACCCAAAAAATATATTTAAAAAAATTTTTTTTTGAATTTAAATTTAAAATTCTCAGCATCCCCACTCATTTGTGTGCATCTGCAGTTGCATTAACAATCATTTTAATTTGATAATTCATAAAGGACAAAATGTGTCATATGAAAAAATTTTCCACTTTGTAGTTTATCCCTAAAATTCTTCTCTCATATATATATATATATATATATATATATATATATATATGTGCGTGTGAGTTCCTGCAGATTTAATAGGCTGGTTAATAAAATTTGAGAAATAAAAAGCCAACAAAATGATAAAAATATAGGCAATAAGATTGATATTTATTATATATTAACCTTTTGACTAAATTGAAGCACAAAGAGAAAGATTTTAAAGTCGGAATTTTTGGATACACCCGTGCTCTTTTCGACAAAACAAGGAATAAACAAAGTAGGGCTCACTCTTCCATGGAATGTTGTTGTTGTTTAGAGGGCTCCTTGTGGAAATTATATTCACTGAGTAAATCCAAATCTCTGTTCAATGTGTGATTTTATTTTGAAAATATATTTCAACTCCAATCTGCGTCTTTCTTGCCGGCTGATGAATGAAGACACTAAAAGCATGCATCTGATGTCATATATTATGGGAAGCACGATGAAGTAGTGAATAGCAGCTCGGATCGAGGAATTGGAGAGCCAAGCTCAAATTCCAGTCAAATCCATTACATTCACTTATATGCTAATACCCTTGGGAAAAGTATGAATGGGTGAACAGCAGGACAGACTGCAGTCTTAGATGGCAACTGGTCTAGGAGAAGAAAACTCTGAATTCAAAACCTGTAGAGGGTTGTTTGGGGACCGTGTGGTATGTAGTACACCAGGTCTTTGTATTCGGCCCTTCAAAAAGTGTGGTTGATTCTGCACAAAGCCTTCACCACTATAATCAAATCATATGTGTTGGTTCCTAGGAATTGAGCTGCTTGACCCTCCCTCATATATTGAATATGACAGGAGAGTCCACCATATATATATATATATATATATATATATATATATATATATACACACACAGATTCCATATCCATAGATTCATACATGTTAGAAAATATTGATAAACAAATGGAAAATGTTACCTGCAGTTCAATGGGATCCAAGGATACATCCCATGAATCTCCAATGGTATCATCCAAAGCATCTTCAATGTCTTTAAGCTGAGTGGCATACTCTTCAAGAAAGTTACCATATTTTCTTAGCTGAACTTCTCCAACAATTTCTAGGATGGGAAAAAAAATTAAGTACAGGTAAATTTAATTGTTATACAAAACCATGCACTGAATTTTTATTGGACTTTGTTTTGTTTCATTTTTTTCTGTTGTGTTTTCTGCATTTATTTTATATCAGTAGCAGCAAGTTTTATTTCAAATTTTGATGATGATGTTAATGAAAAATGTTTTCCAACCTTGAGAAGTGCATTAAATTTTCGTTTTCGAGAAATATCTTGCGAAACAAAATGCAATTGCACAAACAATATAAAGATATAAATGATTTTAATAAATGAAACCAAGAGGTATCTCTAAATTTGCACACTCTTTTGGACACATGAAAAAGAACAAATAACTCTATACCCCTTGTTTTAATAGATTTACTAAAAATCAGAAAATTATTAGCATTAAAATTTTCAGTATTATATTCATTAATGAATTAGCTTTATATTGTGGATAAATTGACGGTACAGGTGGGAGGAGTAAGGTACTTATCTGGGTTGTTGTTTTGGTCGGCTAAAATCTATTACCTTCTTTTTGCCAATTTTTTATACTTACAAGGTCTTGTGACTTATTATCATGTGATCACTAAAGTGTTTATAAAGGAAATGTTTATTCCGCTCTCTTTTTTTTTTTTTTTTTTTTAAACCCCTTTATTTTACTACACAAGTTATCTGACAAAGAAGCTATGTCGCAGGAGTAGATATTTTTTTTCCAACTTAAGGTAAGTACTTTTGCTCATTTCCCTGCCTGCACCATCATGGATTTTTTTTCTTGGGTTGAGATTTTCTTAACAATATTGAATTTTTTTTTTTTTTTTTTTTACATTTTGTAGATCTTGGTTGTTGCTGATAAAGTTGATAAAATAAAGATGTGTCTGAAGAATCAAAAAATGTGAGGACATTTTTTTAATTTTATTTTACAACTGTTTTATTTCTTTTTTTTCTATGCCTGATCAAAAAAAAAATAAAATTCTGAATTCTTTACATAAGAAAAATCTGAAAGTTTTAAAATCTTACTGTAAATATCAATTTTTCACTAATACACATCAGAGATCAGAAATATTGTATTAAAATTAGGTATCCACAAAAAATAGTTTTCTTGAACTCTTAAGATTTTGGACCATAATTTCGATGTACTTAATTTATAAAAATGTAACAATTAGGAACAACAAAAATTTACTAGTATGGATTACCCATAAGTAAAAAGGCGCATATAAATGAACTGAAAAAAAAGTACTTCTCCAAAATTTAAAAAAAAGGTAGATTCAATATAAAGTTAATTAATTATTAAATATAATGCTGAAAATTTTGATTGGATCTAATAATTTCCTGATTTTTAGTAAATCTGTTAAAACAAGGGGTATGATTTTTTTTTAAGGGCCAGCAAAAATTATTGAAAGTTTTTATCTGTTTAATAATTTTTTTCATGTCACAGTTAGAAATACAGTGAAGATAAAGAAATCACTTGATTAAGGAGTTGTAACTGATTTGAAAAATATTTCTAGTTTTCTAATCGATGGGCTTCCATATATTTTGGATTTATGATTTATGGGGCTAATAATAATTTTTATAAGTTGCAGCAAGGGTTATAAATTTACATTTTTGTTTTATCTTTGAATGTGCTAAGAAATGAGGGGAAAAATATTTTTGTCATATTTTTTTTGCAACAAGCAAGTAATATTTTTACAAAATCTAATTAATTAATCCTTACTAATTTATTTTACTATTTTTCTTTTACACAAATGTCGGAAAAAGACATTGGATTTTTAAATTGTTTTAATGAATTTCTCTTCTTCTCGTTATCCATTTATGAATAAATTCGTTAATCGAATTAGGTGGAAGTTTATTTTTACTTTATTTAATTTAAAAATGTTTTTCGGGAAATAATTTTTACTTTTATGAATTACCTTTCGAATAAAATCACTATACCTTTCGAATAAAAAATCAACCTCAAAGAAAACATTTAATTTCTAAATTATTTAAAATGTATTTTTCATTTTTTTTTTTTTTACACAAAGTTCGAGTTCTGAACTGTTATGTCAGTGAGTAAATGCTGGACAATCTCTTCATATGAAGAAAAGACTTGTTGACGCAACAGAGAAGTAGTTTTTTTTTTTTTTAAGGATGCTGCGAATACGGACTGAAGATAAGCAATGACGAAGTTTTTGAGAAAACAGAAACAAAAAGGACACTTATACTTAGTTGAAATTTCTCGGGAACATAATGAGGAAAGAATGCTTGTAAAATTTGACACTCACAGAACATACTGGAGACAGAAGAAAACAGCGTATAACCTAGCGAGTTTGTGTTAAAAATGGATGACAGAACAGGGTTTAGGAAAGATAATAATAAAAAAAAATTGGTTAAGATCTACAAAAAAAAAAAAATAAATAAATAAAAAAATAAGAACAGGAATTTGTGGAGAGCCATGATCACCAACATTCTGAAGGAACATGACATAAGTAAGTGGAAGAACCTAGAGAAAGAAATACGGAAATGTTTCTTATTTTTTGTTATTGTTAGTTTCTGTTTACAGATTCAAAAGAAAAGGTAATAGATGATAATTATTGAGAAATGAGTTTTAAAAATGAATTTTTAATAGTTTTCTTAAAAAAACATTTTTCAAAATTGCGTGTTTTAGAAAGTCGTATTTTTTAAAATAATTTCTTAACTGAGTGAGGTCAGTTAATTAAATGTTAATTAAATTTTATGCTTTTTTTGACTAGAATCACAGAAACTAAACAAAAAAGGAGGTAATTTAACTATTTTTTTAAGTTAACAATTTGTATATTATTGTTAGATTACCCATAAACTAAATCGGGCAAGATTATTTTTCACAAATTTAATGTCAACACGTTTGTTGATTACACACCCATTAAAAAAAATGTTTTTTGTTTACGTTGTGAAGAATCAAGATTATTAGGTTAACAATTATATTTTTTTAAATATACATAAGTTTCTAAAAAGATAAATATGTGATTTCTGTTACAATCATTTATTTACATTGTTTCTTAAAAAAAACTGAAGCTAATTATTTAAATAAAATACATTTTCAAGGAATATTTTACCTGACGATTTGTCTGGCTTGAGAGAGCGACGACGCCTCCTCCTTGAAAAATGAAAACTAAAGAACTTAACTGTTGTAGCAAAAATATTTACTTTACGAAAACTATAAAGATCGTATCCAAATTTAATGCATCGATTGTTGAAATATTGTTAACAAAAATGTACTTACTTAGAGAACCGTCGTCAAATTTATCAAACTCCCAACCACTGCTGTCCCTGGCCATCTTTACAACCACCGCCTCCCATGTGATGAAAATTATGCTCAACTACTGCAGTCGTTTACTACACATTCACGACCATTATATCACATTGGGAACGTTTAAAGGATGTCTACTGTCCCCTCTCCACTAAGTTTACTTTCACTTTATTTACTTAATTTACTTTCTAAAAGAAAATTTTATACGTGTAAGAATTTGTATGATTTTAATTTCTTTTTTTCAGTTAATAAAAAAGGAATTCAAATTCTTATTTTTTAAACGAAATTAATTTTTTGTTTTTCTTTTTTCTGCCAGTTCAAATAAAAAGTGATAGTTTCTTATTCTTCTTACTCATAGGTTGATATTAACTCAAACTGGTATGAACAAAGAAATAAAAATAAAAATATTGTGTTAAATGATTTATTTTGTAAAAAAAGCATTTTGTATTAAAAAGTTAGTAATAATGGTCAATATTTTTCAGATAAATAAATTTTAAATAAAATAATATCATGCTATAACAACAATAATTATGAATAGGATTTTTTTTGTAATTTTCTTAAAAAAACTCAATTTACTTGATTCTGCAATAATTTCATTGTTTATTTTCAGTTCAGCACTTTTGCATGTAGAGGGAATTTAACATTTTACTTATTCCAAATATTAATTTTCTTGTTAGTTAGAAAATTACATATAAAACAAAAATAAAAACAAATTTTTTGATCAGTATCCAGAAGCTTTTTAGTTTTTTTTTTCCAGTTATTACTTAAGAGATTTTTGGATGTAAGTGCATGACAAGTTAATTGTCACATGTTTTCTTACACGGAAACATGACCTCCATCCACCCACCCAGTAAAAAATGTTTGGATAGTGGAGAAGGTCATTGTCTATTGAAACAATCTGCATCTGGCTATAAAATAACACTAAATTAGATTATTTTTCTAACATAAAATTTAAATGAAAGTCACAAACTGTATTAGTGAACCAATTGTATTTAGATTTTCCAAGACACTTGAACCTACCAAGACCAGTGAATACAAAAACTTGCCAAAAGTCATTACACCTTCAAAGTGAGTTTTGTACAATCGAATTCATTCTATTTTTTCTGTTTTTTTAATTTTTTTGTTGGGGTGAGATTTTGTTGTTTCTACAATGTTTTCACTGACCCATTCTATGTCTTTCAGGTGCGCTACCCATATAGAAAGAGATGGCTTTGTAGGGATTAAACTATCTTGTCTCAAAGCATACATTAGGTGATGTTCTATTCAGTAGGCATACAGAAGGTGATTATTTCCCTTTGGTGGAGATAAGTCACATGGGTCACATGACAGCTGCTTAGTGATGTCACTCTATACAATGACGAAAGTGGCAGTTAATTTCAGCTTGCTTACAGCAGCCAAACTGAGAGGTTGCTTTCTTTAACTCAGGTCCTCCATGGCCCAGGCAGAGGCTAAATATGCCTCCCCAGCAGCTTACAAGCCCATAGTGTGATTTCTCTTTAGGAATACATCTTTTCCAGATATAGAAAGAAACTCCAGCTCACAGTCCTCAGTTTGGGAAAACCAAATACTCGCTGTTTCCCCTTTGTGGAATATATCCTCGCCTGGGACATAGTAAATGAATCCAGCCTGTTTGAATTTAGTCCTAAACATGGCTTCTCCAGACACAGGAGTATCTCCATATTATATGTAAGGCCTTTTTGTTTAACTCCTTATACTCTGTTTGCTGTGTAGTTATATATGACATTCACTGGATAGGACACTATAATATATGTATATATAGTTTTGTGTATATTTTAGTAGTATAAAAGTCTCTCTGAGAATAAAGCATGTTTGTCATTCCTTTTCCTTTCAGCTATTCTGCTCCATGTGTGAACTATGGTACTATTATATCATGGACAAATTAATGCCCATAATGGGGGAAATACAAATAGAGGATAAATCTTTCTTTTCTAGCTCTCTCCAGTTATAATTCTATAAGAAAGGCACATAAAAAAATGTTGCTCTATTTCTGAGCTGAGATGGAGTAGTGACAACATGAAATTTGTCTTTGTTGTGGGGAGATTTCTTCTCTTCAGCAAACAAACTAGCTAATTTTAAACAAACCTCATGGATATTCGCACATTTGTAAGAAATTCTGGCATCCAGGTTTTTTTTATATTAAAAAAACCATCTAACTAGATTCCAAACAATAAAAAAATGAAAATAAAGAAAACATGGGTATGCTTGTTAAATAAATCAGTTGTATTTACAAACATACGAACATGAATTCAAAAAGTCAAAAAAGATTAAAAAATAGTCTTTAGTTGAGTTGAGAAAGTCTTTGGGTAGTTGATTTACAGCAAAATTTGGGATTTAGAAAAGACTTTCAAATAGTTGGTCCACAGAAAAAAAGCTCTGGTTGTGAAAAGACTTTTATTGTTAGCAAAGATAGCCTAATTTCCTTTGTTGTTGTTGATGACTCTTTTGAAGTTGCTGACTGGCCAGCCATGCTGTTGTTGTTGTAGCTGATTTGTTTGAAGTCACCGACACACATTTCTTTTCTATGTACTGGGTGTAGGCAGTCACATTTTTCTCTCTTGAAAGTCAGAGTCTGTGGACTCCTATAAGAAATTCTTCCCAAAAGCAGGCTTGAGAAAAATAGGGTTTTAACCCTCTTTGACTGATCAAATATTTCACATGGTAATGTCAATTTCCAAACAATAAACAGTGTGTGTTGCATTGTGGAATTTTTTTTTAGAATATTTGCAATATTGTCTGTTATTGGACAGACAATAAAGTTTGTGCATACTTCAATATGGCATGTATGTGGGTATGTAATTGTGTTTGAAATATGGTCTATTTCCTATACACTCACTACTGCTAAGTATATAAATGTTTCCATTCCTCTTTTGAACTATCTATATACATATAAATATAATTTTCTCTTTCTCTTTTTTTGCGAACTAGTTTTCTCTTTATATATATATATATATATATATATATATATATATATATATATATGTATATATGTATATATGATAACTCTAACATTTTAGGCATTTAAAACAACATACCTGGCCGCATACACAATTCCATAAAATCCTTGTAGAAAACACAACTATACTTAAACATGAAAACAATAAACAAAAGCTAAAAATTCTTGAAGCTATATACATAAAACAGTTGAAACGCTATTTCAGTTAACATAACAATATGAAAATAGCGTTTCTCTACATTCCAGTTGCTAGGAACATTCTGTTTTTTGTTTTTATTAGTTACCTTGTTCAATTAAATTCATTTCGTATTTTGCTTTGATAAAGTCCACATTGGATGAAACACGTCAGCAATTACTAGTTTTCCTATTGTCATTTTTATTCATAAATATATATATGTATAAAAATCCTCCATATGTTGAATTAATTTCTTTTGAAAATTTTGAATTCATTAAAGTGTACATTTAAAAGATTTGCTTTCATAAAAGTGGATTGGATATATGTATTTCTTTACCTCCTTTTAAAGGTTTTCATTACCTGAAAAATAATTTAATTTTTCATTTTGATTAACATTGAACCAATTTTGAATATTGTGTGTAGTTTTGGAAATGGTATCTCTGACAGGCCTTTTTTGGTTTTTAATTTTCAGTCTGTTACAGACTAAAAACTTACATTAGTAATATTTTTCATTTATCAGAAGTCTGATGCTAAGGTATTTCTCCTCTGCATGCCCTTTGACAATTAAATCTAGAAGGTAAATTTTTTAGAATGTATTTTTCAAACTGAAATTTATGAAAAACAATTTTTTGAGACTAAGTCTTTTGACAACTCAAAGAATGATAAAACTATGTTTTCATTACATTTGCAGAATGTTTTGAGAATGGTATGCCGATTTTTTAGCGATTGTGTGGGGGTACCTAATTGTGTATTTGGGAAGCAATCCCTCTTTTATACAAGTTTCATGAAAAATGACAGACAAGGAACTGCAGCTAAGTTTTTTATTTAATTTTTCTTGTGTTCTTATAATTTTTTCTTTTCTGGATATAAATTATGTAGAAATTGTCCGAATGTTTTGTATGTCCAAGTGCTTTCAGCTATACTTTTTTTTTTAACCATAATCAAGGATAATTTTATTTTTACTTTTAACTGAATGTATGGATTGTTTTATGTATGTATCCAGAATTATAGGAATGTTTTATTTTCAAAACACGGTCAGCACATTGTGGGCATGTTGATATTACTGAATATTGGCTTCTTTCTTTTTTCTTAAAATGCTTCCATTATTTTAGCCATTTTTTACATGTGGATGAGGCTATTATTATTATATTTGTATTATCAACAGTATATATATATATATATATATATATATATATATATATATATATATATATATATATATATATATATATATATATATATATATATATATGTGAAAATATATAGAAAATAGGAAAGAACTCATTAGGTAAATAATCCAAAGTTCTTTAGTATTTTTATTATTATTTTAAAAATAGTGCTCGATACAAAAGTAGAGCATAAATATAATTATTTATTTAAAAATATGATTCCAACACGCTACATAAGAGTTCTCATGTTTCAAAACAAGAGCTGAAAACTTCAATATAAATATTTGAATTAAATTGAATTAAAGTACTAAGCTCTGTTCCATCTTCAAGCGAAATTTTTTTGGAATAACTTATTTCTGAAATTTACGCATTTTATAAGCATATTCATTATTGAAATCAAAATTTCTATGGTAATGGCTAGAGCAATTGTTTACGTCCCTTATTTCAATAATGAATATGCTTATAAAACGCGTAAATTTCAGACCAACCCAATCCCATTTATGCAGGTTCTACAAGGAATTTCTACAACAAATCATCTTTTAAGAATAGACGTGTCATCACCTATATATTTAACCTTTAACATACTGCAGGTGATTTTGCTTGCAAAGCAAATATTTTATCCTACCACTGTAAGTGACTGAAATGAATGAATAATAGTGTTTTAATTTTGAAGTTGTGTTGTCATATCCTACTATGGCAACAGAATATGG